GTATTATTATCAACATGTTTGATACATATCAAAGATGTCTACGGTGATTTTCAGAAAATTCGTATCTTACTGGATACAGGCTCGATGGCTAATTTTATTTCAGACAGTTGTTTTCGGCGCTTAGGTCTTTCCCGTAATAATTTATCAATCCCAGTGGAAGGTCTAAACGGAATGTCGACGTGTACCACTCAGGGTACCACGTTCTGTCATATTAAACCATGTGATCGTGACGGCCCGATCTTCTCGTTGGACGCAATAATTGTGAAAAAGGTGTGTTCAAATCAACCTAAGGTATTTATCAATCCTCACGATCTTACTCATATTCGTGATCTGAAATTAGCAGATCACACATTCTATCAACCAGGTCCGATAGACATGCTGATAGGGGCTGAATTAGTTCCTCTCTTTTTAAAGTCGGGTCGAATTCTTGGCGAACCAAACCAACCTGTCGCTTTAGAAACCATTTTCGGTTATGTGCTACAAGGGCGAGTCTCTACGGCCCTTTCAAATTGTAATTTTACCTCTTTACATACGTCTATGGATACAAACATAGATAGTCTTTTACAAAAATTTTGGGAAGTCGAAAATATATCTAAACCTGCCATTTTGTCCCAGGACGATCAAGTTTGTGAGGATATTTACAAGGCATTTACTTTCCGAGAGTCAACAGGCAGATTTTCTGTTCCTCTACCGTTTCGACAACCCAATCCTGTCTTTTGCGATACTTATTCTCAAGCATATCGTCGTTTTTGCGTATTAGAGAATCGTTTTAAGAAAATTCCGGATCTCAAAGAGAAATATGTTGAGTTTATGAATGACTATATTACTTCGAAACATATGGTCCCGGTTCCTGAATCTGATTTTAAATCACCTACCTCGTATTATTTTGCTCATCACGCAGTTTTCAAAAAACAAATTGTTAATTCATCTCTTGTTTCCAAAATTCGTGTTGTCTTCGACGCCAGTTTACGTGACGTTCGAGGTGTGTCTCTCAATGATACCCTATATACAGGTCCTAAACTTCAAAAGGACATCTCTTCGCTTTTACTCAATTTTCGATATTTTCGTTACTGCTTCACATGCGATATAAAGCAAATGTATCGACAAATTAACGTAAACAAAGAATTTTGGAATTATCAAAGAATTCTCTGGAGGTCGGATTCTTCTAAACCTCTTCAAGAGTACTTTTTACGTACTGTTACTTACGGTGTTTCTTCTTCACCTTATCTCGCATTAAAAACTTTACAAGAGTTAGCTGAGTCGGCAGAGTCTCGTTTCCCTAACGCTTCACAAGCTTTAACGCGACATTTTTATATTGACGATGGTCTATTAGGAAGTGATTCTCTGTCATCTACCCGCTCTCTACAGTTAGAGCTCATTCAACTTTTAAAGCTTGGTGGTTTTGAACTAGGCAAATGGGCCAGCAACCATCCCAGTCTACTCCAAGATTTTGGTTCTGATATTCTGACATCTTGTTCGTTTGACAAAGAGGAACCTTCCGTTATTAAGGTGCTAGGCCTGAAATGGGACCCGTCGACTGACGTCTTTTCTTATTCTTACTGTCCCCTTGACAAAACTTGTACAAAGCGGGCTATTCTTTCGGAAATCAGTCGTATTTTTGATCCTCTTGGTTTCATATCCCCGTGTCTGTTAAAGGCCAAACGTCTGCTGCAACAGTTGTGGCAATCCAATGTATCTTGGGATGATGAACCACCTGAACAAATACAACAGGTATGGCATCAGTTTAAAATCGAGTTACCTGACCTTGCGAACATTCAAATCCCTCGACACTTCGGCTTTAATAAATCTTCTAAAGTCGAGATTCATGGATTCTGCGATGCTTCAGAGTTAGGATACGCCAGCGTTGTATATTTCCGATTTAATACTTCTGACACATTTGAGACTGTACTTGTGTGTGCTAAATGTCGAGTGTCTCCTCTGAAGACACAATCTATTGCAAGATTGGAACTGTTGGCAGCTGTATTGCTGGCGGATCTAGTCGCCTTCATTAAAGAGTCGTTTAAGCATATCTTTTCTTTTTCCGATATTCATGTTTGGTCGGATTCCACGATTGCTCTTACCTGGATTAATTCTTCTCCGCATAAATGGAAAACCTTTATTGCCAATCGGGTAAGGCACATACAAGAACTTATACCATGTTCTTCTTGGCATTACGTGCCATCTAATCAAAACCCTGCTGATTGTGCTAGTCGGGGTTTGACACCGGCACAACTACTACAATTTTCCCTCTGGTGGCGGGGTCCTGATTTTCTTTCAAAGTCAAGCGAGTGTTGGCCCTCTCAGGTTAATTTTCACACCTCCCATCCCACGGAAATGTTAGAAGAAAAATTGCCCACTGTATTATCATTGATACCGGTCATTTCGGATAATATCATCTCTACTTTACTTTCAAAATTTTCGTCCCTGATAAAAATTCAGAAAGTCATGGTTTACGTCTTAAAATTCGTGGCTAAACTTCAAAGAAAAAACAATGCTGCCTCTTCAGATTCCCTGAACAGTCATTTAGAGATGGAATCTGCGTTACGATACATTGTTAAGCATGTACAAGCTGACGTTTTTTCGGAGATTTTTCTCAAAATTCAACAAAATTCGCTGTTACCCAAACCTTTTCGTAAACTCGCACCCTTTATTGATGAATATGGTCTTTTGAGAGTAGGAGGTCGATTACAAAAGTCTAAGTTATCTTTTGATGTAAAACATCCATTGCTATTACCGAAAACTCATCGTTTGACCGATTTAATCATCGAGTGGACTCATCAAACTCATCTGCACCCTGGTTTAAAGGCTATGCATTATTTATTACTTCAGCGCTTTTGGATTCTGTCTCCGAAAAGTGCCATTCATCGCTGTTTGTCGAAGTGCATTCGTTGTTTTAGATGCCGACCTAAATCTTACAACCCCTTTATGGCAAACTTGCCAACTGTCCGAGTTACTCCGTTACGTGCTTTCCTATCTGTTTGTGTGGATTTTGCAGGACCATTCTCGTTATTAATGTCCAAACATAGAGGTGCAAAAACATACAAAGGATATGTTTGTGTATTCGTGTGTACGAGTACAAAGGCCATTCATCTGGAAGTAACTTCAAATCTTAGTTCTGAGTCCTTTTTGGCTGCCTTTCGTAGATTTGTATCTCGACGCGGTAAGTGCCTAACTATTAGGAGTGATCAAGGTACCAATTTTAAGGGAGCCAGCAACGAAATCATAAAACTAGCTCGATCTGCTGCTGAGACTCTTTCTATTACCTGGGATTTTAATCCGCCCGGTGCCCCTCATTTTAATGGGTTAGCCGAGGCTGGCGTCAAATCATTCAAGAACCATATGTATCGTGTTTTGGGTACACAAATTTTGACTTATGAGGAGTTCTATACTCTTATGACTCAAATCGAGGCAGTTCTTAATTCTCGTCCTTTGTGTGCAGCAAGCTCTGACCCTAATGATTTGCAGGCACTGACTCCTGGTCATTTTTTGATTTTTGAACCCTTAGTGGATTCAATTCCCGATCCAGATCTAAGCGCTTTAAAAATTAACCGTCTGAATCGTTGGCAGTTAATTCAAAGGATAAAGGGGGATTTTTGGAAAAGATGGTCTAAAGAGTATATTCATTCTCTTCAAGAGCGATCTAAATGGCATAGTCCAACCCCATCTCTCGTTAAAGGTTCGCTAGTCCTCATAAAAAATGAACAACAGCCTCCTCTTCGCTGGCAGTTGGCCAGAATCATTGAGTTGCATTATGGCACCGACGGTATTGCACGGGTTGTTACTCTGAGGACAGCTTCAGATGGCATCCTACAACGTCCGGTGGTCAAGATCTGTCCACTACCTATTTGTTAACAACTATATCTTTCTTCATTTCTATTATTATTATAATTTAGTGTTCGTTTTTATTCTTATTATTGTAGTTGTTTCTTAAAAAACATTCGTTTTGGGGCGGAGAATGTTTGGAAAAGTGTCAAGTAATTTAAATATTTTATTTTTATTGTTGCGAGTATGACCTTATTTGGTTTTAAATTTTATTTAATCATATATTACCTAATTGCAATACGGCTTTAGTTTATTTTTAAATTCTCGAACTCAAATTGGCTGATTAATTATTGTCAAGTTCTGAGAATTCACTTGTCTAAAATTCAACATGTTTTTGGGAAACATATATCAACCCAAAGCACTTAAGAGTCCTTAAGGAAACGTACCCGTCCTTTGTGTAGCAAGTTTAAAATGTCAGTTTAAGCTTAATTTACTGCTACTCCCGGAGGTCCAAGAACAGAAGTACCACCCTAGTGGATTCGAGTACATATGTATTTTTCCCTATTATCGACACACTCTTCAAGAAACTCTCGTCCGGTACGGAAGCAAGCGCCCAGCAGATCACCACAGCAGTGTATCTCACGCCAACCCCAGCCGGGACGACCATAGACAAAAAAAGGTAAGTGAATCTCATATAGAATTGACAATAAGATATAAAATCTGCCAATTGTTATTTGAATTCATTTATTTTACATATATTTGCTACAAATATTCGCTATTTTCGCTAATCTTATATACAATCTAATATTGCATTTTTTCGTTATAATTATTTATTCAATACAATTTAACCAGCGATCTCTCAAGTTTAATCATTAAACACCCTACTTATTGGACTGACGATCTGAAGAAAATGTCAAGAACTTGAATGAAAAGAGCTCAACATAGAGCACAATGTGATCAGAGTATAATTATGGAGGCAATCAAGATTAAAATTTAATGTTTAAAAAAGGAAGTAATGAGTAAATATTAATAGATTCTTTGGCAACATGTTGAAATTGATTCTGCACAAAGGTAACATATGAAGATCAATATATTATATTAGTAGAGCAGTTGGAATCGACACCAAAAATCCAAAAAGTCAATCCTTGAAACTTCCATTCACAAATAACCAATTTTAAGATCTGTTAAGATTAAGATTTAATCCAGAAGAAAAGGTAATTCTAAACTGCTGACCTTACCTTCCTCAGTATCGGCTAGATAATCGGGCACGTCTGGTGGTGTAAAAACGGGAGGTGCGGACTGAGGAGGGGTCTCGTCCCATTCGTTAACTAAGGGTTCCCCGAACTCGTCGCATTCCTCTACTACCAACGATGGGAAATTGCCGATGTGGCCCTCTAATTCTCCTTGCCACCAGCCGTCGTCGATGCTGTGAGCACACCTACTTAATATCTTTATTATTTGACCTTCTTCGAAAGTAAGTTCTTCACCACCTAGAAAAAGAATTTAATTATAGTAAAAAGCTTCTGAAACATAGAAGTGACATTTGCTTGTAGTTAACTAAATTTCTAATTGAATAAGATAAAATCTGGATATCATCTAATATTCTTTTTATCTAATATATAAAATTTCCCTGTGACAATGTTAGTTACCGTATTCCTCCGAAACGGCTTTACCGATATTTACCAAATTTTAAATGCGCATTCAATAGGTCTGAGAATCGGCTACTATCTATTTTTCATACTCCTAAGTGATAAGGGTTGTTCACCCTTTTTTATTTTTTATTTTTGTTTTTTTTATAATGTTGCATTAAAAAATACATACAACCCTAAACTTTTACTTTTTTATCATCATTTATGGCTATTTTAGTAATTTAATCATTTTTCATCTCACTCGATAACTGATCAATTATAGTGTTTTTAAATGTACTTTTTAAGAAAATAAACATTTATTTTTATTATTAAAGTTTAATTCTGATATATGCTTAGTGTTACCAATCTTAGATTCTTCAAATTTGCCGCAACTTTACTGGTGAGTGGAATGCCACACTATACCATAAACTGAAGCCGGTCTCCTGTTTCACTTACACAAGACTTCTCTCACTCCCTACACAGTTTTCGGCCATCCATGATTATTGTTTATGCATCAAGTGTAGTAGTAACGTTCACAATAATTATCAATTTTCTATTTTTGTGTAACTCTAATAATAACTATTAATTATTACTATTTTATTTATAATAATAAAATTATTAATTTTAAGTTTATTTAGCACGATTGGATCAGTTAATGAAGTTTTATTTTAAACAAGTGATTTACATAATCTTAAAAGTACTCAACACGTGTCACGAGCTCCAACCAACAACGGCTTTTGTGTTGTAAGTAAACTTTTTTTATATAATTATTTGAATTTTTTACAACTACTGTTTCAATTTTTTTTTCATAAACCTAATATTTTCGCTATAATCCTGGCCGTAATTATAATTATAACGTTTTCCATCATTAAGTAATTTCATTAATTCTATTTATATGTGTTTTGTAGAGTGAGCAATGCCAAGAAAACGCAAAAGGGCTGATTTGAACCGTAATACAAGTATATTCAGAAGTATGGGAGATAAAAGATCCCAAAGAACCGAAGAACAAGTCCATCAACAAAATGCTGATGCACGTGTGAGCATTCAGCAATTGCGTCAAGAACAATCAGAAGATACACGAACTGAGCGCAATGAAGTTATACGTTTAGAACAACGACAATCACGCCGTTTTACGGTTAATAGACGCAGAACAAATGACCAACAACGCCAACAAGTACATCGTGAATTTACATCTGATTCATTTTTGCGTTCTAGCATTCCAGTACGAGCCAGATATTGAATATTTCATCATCATCATCACTGGCTCGACAACCCTTTTTGGGTCTTAGCCTGTTCAAGGATTCTTCTCCATTCTGACCTGTTTCGTGCTTTTTTTTTCCAGTTTTTAATTTTTAATGTTGTTATATCATTTTCTATTTGTTCTACGTATCTCAGCTTCGGTCTTCCTCTTGTTCTTTTTCCTACTGGCACTTGTTTGAATATTTTGTTTGGTATTTTGCCTTCTTACATTCTTTCCACATGTCCAATCCAACGTAGCCTTCCTATTTTAATGAATGTTATGATATCCGGATCCTGGTATATGTTGTATAGTTCAAAGTTATACCTTCTCCGCCAAATCCCGTTTTCTTTTGTGCCCTTATATATGTGTCGCAAGATTTTTCTTTCAAAGGTGGCTAATAACGTTTCCTCCCTTTTAGAGAGTGTCCAGGTTTCTGAACCGTATGTGAGTACCGGTCTTATTAAGGTTTTGTATATTTGGCATTTTGTTTTTCTGGAGACGTTATCTGATCTTAGTTGCCTAATTAAGCCATGGTAACATTGATTGGCAATAAATATTCTCCTCTTCACTTCCTCTGCAACGTTGTTATCAGACGTAACTAGGGATCCTAAGTATGTAAAGTTTTTTACCGCCTCAATGTTGTATTCTCCTATTGTTAAATTTGGCAGCTGCCTTACTTGTGCGTTTTTTATTTGCAGGCATATATTTTGTTTTGGTCTGATTGATTTTAAGACCACTATTTTTTGCAGCTCGTTCTATTTGAGTGAATGCGTCTATCATTTCTCTTCTTGATCTAGCGATTATGTCAACATCATCTGCAAATGCTAGTACTTGCACGCTTTTATTAATTATTGTTCCTCGGGTATTAACTGTTGTGTCTCTTATTATTTTTTCAAGTATGATGTTGAATAATATGCATGATAGAGCGTCTCCCTGGCGTAGTCCCTTCTTCACATCTTTTGTTTCCGTTAATTCGTTTTGTATCCGGATTTTACTTTCTACTTTTAGTGTTTCTTTTACCAATTCTATTAGCTGTGTTGGTATATTAAATTCTTTCATTGCTTTTGTTAGGAATTCTCGGTTTATATTGTCATATGCGCTTTCGAAGTCTATGAAAAGATGATGTGTGTCGATGTTATATTCACTTGTTTTTTCAAGGATCTGTCGCAGAACAAATATCTGGTCTATTGTTGACTTCTGTCTACAGAAGCCACATTGGTATTTGCCAACTATTTTTTTCAGCGTATGGTCTAAGTCTTTCATACATTACGTTGGACATTATTCTGTATGCCGCATTCAACAGCGTGATTCCACGGTAGTTTTCACATTCTAACTGGTTTCCTTTTTTATGTAGTGGTACAATAATACCGCTATTCCACTCCTTTGGTAGCTGTTTATTCAACTCTAATGTTTGCTATTGTTGGTGGACTCTTTTCTCTGTTGTCTGCTTGGTCTAATGGTATATCAGGGTTCATCTCCGTCCTATTCACCCCAAGCTTTTCCTTAAAATGTTCTGTCCATCTTCTAAGTATCTCTTGCTGTTCTGTCAATATATTACCCTCCTTATCTTTACACATCGTTGTTCTCGGTTTGAACTCTTTTCTGCTTTTATTGAGTTTCTGGTAAAATTTTCTTGTCTCTGTTGGTTTACTTAGTTCTTGTAGTTCTTGCAGTTCTTTGTTGATATATTCTCTCTTCTTTCTTCGGTGAATTTTCTTTTCTTTTTTACGTAGTTGTTTATATTCTTCCTCTGCTTGTCGGGTTCTGTGCCTCTGTTGCGTCTGTAGATATACTCTGTTTTTTCTTTCTGTTATAGTTTGAAATTCTTCGTCAAACCAGTGATTCGTTCTTGTTCTTCTTTCTTTACCTTCCATGCCCAACACCTCTTTAGCTGTTTCTAGATATTGAATATTATGTCATTCAAAAGTGGTAATTGGTGCTATGGATAAGGAATGTTCGCATTGTGATTCTCTCAAATTTAAAAATGAGCCACCTGGGATGTGTCACGCGTCAGGAAAAGTGCAACTACCTAAAATTGAAACACCACCTGAACCATTGAATGGTTTACTTATCGGCACGGATCCAGATTATAACGTATTCCTTAAGTCAATTCGAACATTCAATTCCGTTTTCAAATGGGATGAATGTACTATGGCACACAAACATTTAATTGAGGCGTTAAACAAGACATTGAAAGATATTAAAAATAACGACAAACTATTTGGCGGCACTCTGTTGGTGCTTTCAAGTGATTTCAGACAAACACTTCCCGTCATTCTATGTTCAACATACGCTGATGAGATCAACGCGTGCTTAAAATCATCTCCATTGTGGCGTAATGTTGAAAAAGTACAGCTGAAAGTAAATATGCGCGTTCAAATGCTTCAAGATCCATCCGCTGAAACATTCTCAAATAACTCTTAGATATCGATGATGGAAAAGTGCCTACAGATGAAACTAGATACGTAAAATTACCGACCGATTTCTGCACAATCGCTAATTCGCAAGATACTCTCATTGAATAAATATTTCCTGATGTACACACACAGTACATAAATCATGAGTGGCTTGCAGAAAGAGCTGTTTTAGCAGCAAAAAATGCAGACGTCAACAATTTAAATTTGAAGATACAACAGTTGTTGCCAGGGAACTTGGTCTCATACAAATCTATTGATACAGTTTGCGATGCCAGCGAAGCTGTTAATTTTCCCACAGAATTTTTGAACTCACTGGATTTGCCAGGCATGTCACCGCATAATTTACAATTGAAAGCTGGATCTCCAATTATCTTGCTTCGTAATTTAAACCCGCCACGGTTGTGCAACGGTACGCGATTAATCATTCGAAAATTGATAAAAAACTCCACAAGGAATCTACGTTCCTGTAGTTAGCTGTATACCATATATTAAACATTGCCCTAGAAAACAATTCGGCTGGTTCAAGACCACCCGGAAGACCACCTAAAAGATGGAAGGATAGGATAAGAAGTAAAAGAAGAAAAAGACCTTATTTTATAATATTCAAAAAACATGTTAAAAATTTGAAGTAATTTTTCTTACCTTCTCCTTCGTAGTCATACAACGCTATACAATACTCGGGATTTGTGCCGTCTGGAGTTTTCTGTGGAATAGAGATTACAGAAATCTGTTCGGGCGACTGCGTGGTTTCTGTAGCTTGTTGTGCACTCTCCTCTTCATTATCTACAGTGTAATCAACGGAAGAAAAGGATATTTGAGTCTGTAGGCCGGGCGTGGTCACTGACTGTTCTCTTTCTGAAATCATATTAGATTTTAGTTCAGTTAAAGCTTTAACAGTAGAGATTACGTCCTAAATTTTTACCAAATATGTTGAAGAAAAAATTTAACATCGAAATTCACAAACAAAAAACCATAAACTAATTTGAATGTATAGTAGCCTCGTATTTCCGTGAGACTGTGCAAAAATATATGTATCTGTAATAAAATCATTCATCAAAAAGGTACTCTACCAGGAGTCTGTAAAATTATCAATGACTCAGACGTATAATAATACAAAGTTTCCAGATTCCACTCGATATTAACATTCAGACGTGCCTGGTATAATCTTTTAAAATATGAACCAGATATGAACCATCAACCAATTAAGTTTTCATCGAACTTATGACAAGTCCACGTGGACTAACGGCCAATGAAAACATCGGATATCGCTGTTAGGACAAATCATAATGCATTATCTTTTGTCGGTAGATTTATTCATACTTGGGGTAAGATTATATCAGTATTTGACTGAGCTTACGGAGTCATAAAATAAGGGATCAGGTTTCGACCGTCCAGTGCCGAAGGCACGGGACGGGGGAAAACTTAGGTAGGCAAATTTTTATAATATTTTATTTTTAAATTGCGGATATAAACAACAGATTTTTGGGAGACAAGAATATTTTTAGTAAAATCATAACTGCTACAGCGTTCAGTTAAATTCAAATTTCAAATAGTGAACCGCAAGTTAGTTTGGTAGTGACTTTTTTCAGTGTTCTTTATACGGAAAACATTTTATATTTTACGTTTTTTACTTTTTTTGATACGTTTTTACGTGATTATGTTTTTTTATACGTTTGATAATTTTAAAATATTGCGTCCGTGGTGCGATAATAATTATGTAGCTGAATGGAACCCTCTAATCGATTGGAAGATTTACAAAGGCGTGTAGTAAAACGTAAGCGACATTTTCAATACCTATCTGATGATGCCAAACGTTTGCTAAAAAATGTTTATGAAGGACTGTGTGCTGAATTGTCTAAATCAGAGGCAATAATTGTAGAAACATGTTTTTTAACCAGAGTGCCCAAAGCAACCTGCTACAAAATTATAGGAGAAACATCTTCTTCTAGACATAAGAGAAAGGATTGTGGCAAATTCAGAAAAATAGAACCGCACTTAATTGAATCTATAACTAGAACAATATACCAAATGTATGCGGCTAATATTTTTCCAACTATTGAAAGTCTTCGAAGTGAATTAGTTCGAAAGTGATTCTCTCGTGTTCAGCAACAACACTTCGATTATTTCTTAAAGCCAATAATTTTAAGTACAAAACTATAGACAAGAGACAGACATTGATGGTACAAGTAGTACTAGAATAATTTCTTTAAGAAACAATTATATTAGACAGATAACTGAGTATCGAAAAATGAAACGAAATATTGTTTATTTAGATGAGACCTGGTATGATACTCATGACACCGTGAAAAAAAGTTGGACAAATATAACAAAAGTGTTTCAACTCGTACCGCCAAAAAAAGAGGATTATAATTTTACACTGCGGTGGAGAAAATGGATGGGTCGACGATGCATTATTAATATCTGCAAAACAAATTAAAAACGCGTCTCTGGATTATCATGACGATATGGAAAGTTCAATTTTTGAATCATGGTTTAAAAAATGTCTTCTTCCGAAATTACTTAAAGATAGTGTGATTATCATGGACAACGCATCATATCATTCAAGATTAATGAAAAAAAACTTCAAATAATAGTTGGAATAAATTAAAAATTCAGGAATTTTTATTCACGGAAGATTTGTATTTTAAGACATCTTATATTAAAAAGCAATTGTTGGAGGTTGTTCATAGTAAACAATACGAAAAGGAATATGTTGTTGACAACTGTGCTCGTAGTAACGGGCATACTGTGTTTAGACTTCTTCCTTATTATTGTACATTGAACCCAATAGAGTTAATATGGGCTCAACTTAAAGGAAATATAATGAGAAGAAACGTTGCTCCAAAATTTTTTGTCTACTGTTCTCCAGTTAATTAGAAGAGAAGTCACAAAAATTACAGCAACCAACTGGAAAAATGTAATAAAAATAAAACATGTAATCGAAGTGGAAAATGACTATGTTATGTTAAATATTTACCAGCATTACCGAAATTACCTATAAAATTAAATGATACGAGTGATACTAGTGATAACAGTGATTCTGAGTAGATAGTACCTAAGTACTTATTAGGTGTTAGTTGAAACCTATATTTCTATTTTAATTGTAGATATTCTCATTTTGCTTATATATCTTTGAAAACAGGGTATAAACCATCGAGCAAAAAGACAAAAGAGGGAATCTAATCCTTATGAAAAGGAGACCAAAAAAGTGGCCTCTGATGGCGGACATATCCGGAAATGCGAATGCGCCAAATTTAAATTTTCCGACACTTATTACAGTAGCTGTTAATATTTTTCAGAATGTGTCTTAGACGAAAGTTTAATTAACAGTAGCTATATAATATTTTTCAGAATGTGTCTTAGACGAGAAAGTTTTAATTAATTATTAATGGTAATAGTCTAAAATGCAACACAATTGTTAAAAAACTTAAACAATATAAATAAGATTTCATGTGACATTTGGGACAAACAATAACATAACCCAACTAAATTTGATGTCAAACAAGGAGAGAGACTCTCTTTCCTTGTTTAATGTGCCTCTAAAGATCGCACTTCCTGTCTAACAATATTTTTGCCCCCACTACTTTTATATTCCCTCTTTTGTCTTTTTGCTCGATGGTATAAACACACTTCTTGATAGGACAAAAATTATTAATGTTTTAGGGGAGGATGTCAACTGAAACTGTCACTGTCATTCTCGCTAAATAACTACTATTATTAACAATGTTTTATATAGATATTATTATTTTACAATAAGTTCTGTTCAGTCGAGTCGATTAGTGTTATCACTCCCAAGATATATCACAGAAGTTAAAAACACCTATATTTTTTATTTAAACTTTATAGAGAATGAAACTTTTTGGTAAATAAAATTAAATAAAAGTAAAAACTTTTATTTAATTTAAAATTAGATATCTACGCTACTGTTCTACTAGTTATGTACTACAATAAACTAGTGGTAACTCTAATAGCGTTGCCATTTTACTAGTATTTTGCTTGTTTTGGTCTCTGTAAATTTTCTCACGAAATTACGTGCCGACTTATACTTACCTATATCTAAATAGTTCTGTGGGACATAACCTTCTTCACCCCTGTAATTCCTTGCCCTTAACCACCCGTCTCCGTCCCCTTCACCAACTACTTCTAGTTGTTCGTTCTCGACGATTGTCAATTCATCCGGATTTTGAGCCTAAAACAAAACAATAAATTAAAATATGTTTCGGAAAATGATTTAAACGATTGCAAGTGTTCTCTTTATGGTATTTCCTTTTTTTAACATGTTTGTGTTCGTTACTTTCCTTTCTTCAAGTGATTCTGTTGTTGCGTTTATTATGTTTTTTTTTTAATTTCCAAGTTTTCCTCGATGCTATCTTCTTCTAACATTTTATTCCCAGCGAATTTCTCTAACATTCTTTTTCTGTATAAGTATCTATATATCTACCAAAACAACACAATAAAAGTAAAAGTAGAAGAAGAACTAACCGATCCTTTTGAAGCTAGCAATGGGATAAGACAAGAAGATTCCCTGAGTCCTCTTTTGTTTAACCTAATAATGGATGAAATAATAAAAAAGTAAGAACTTAAAAGGGATACCAAATGGGAAAAAGACAACTTAAAATAATCTGCTATGCAGGCGACTCAGTACTATTGTTTCAACTCTCCTAGTAAAGATGATTCAGAACGTATGGTACAATGAATACAAGGTATGATACATAATGTTACAAAATTGGTTTGCTTTCGCGCATGACGTAGTCAAGACCGCAATTTTGAAAGAGCAGTATCGTGAAAATACAATTTGTAAAAGACCAGACCTGCGATCAATGTGAAAATGGAAAAGAATGCTGCTGTCTTCTGGAGGACGACAAATATGTTTTTTTACTATATTGCATTCTAAACATGCAGAAATGCTTTTTCAGTTCATATTTTATTTTAATCGGACAGTCAAACTACATTGGTCATTTAAAGACAACCAAATGGCGTTTTGTCCATCAATAATTTTTTTTTGGAAAAAAACTAATAAAGCTTAATGAAATCATGAAATTAATAATAAAAAAATAGATTTATTCATATTTTGTGTTTTTATTTTAACTTTATTAATAATTGAGTAGCAGTTTTTCTCACTTCCTGAAAATTGTTAAAAATGGACAAAGTGCGATATGAAAGTCTGCTCCTGAGTCTACTACCGATTGATAGCGGAACGGTGTGTTTATTTTTGGCTCTCCAAAATAGTTTAAATTAAGTAAGAAGAAGTTTTCAAAATTTAACTACGCTTTGTGAAGTTATTAGTGATCAACTGAACTCACTTTTGCTAGTCTGTAAGTACAGTTTTACTGTAAATTTCACCGAAAATATATAATTAGTACGTATTTAACATCATAGAAAATTTTCATATCCATATTTGCTTGACGATAAACAAAAACATTTAATTACCATTGACCTGTATCTCCGGCCGGTTTTTTTTCTGGCGGCGAACAGGTCCGTCTTTAGGAATGTTTAAACATCAACGAATATGTCGCAAATGAATGAAATAAATTTACCAGGCAATTCTCAAATGGATAATTCTACACAAAGAAGTTACTCTACCGCACTAACACAACAAAAATTTCCGTCAAAACGGCAAGCTATCATTTTTAATTCCATTGAAGATGCGAAAATACAAGATTACCTCCTCCCCCTGGTAAAAATCATCCATCCAAAAAATATACTATTCTGCTCTAGATTATCAAACAGTAGAATATGTTTATATTTATCATCTGAAAATATCGTAGAAAAATTCATGAATGAAAATAACGGCAAAATTGAAGTTAATAACCAGATTATACAAGCTTGACGGTATATAACCCCCTCCGAAAGAATCATTATCTCTAATGTTTGCCCATCCACTCCTCATGATGTATTAATTAAATAACTTGAATCCATGGGGCTTGTTATTCTATCTACAATGTCCTTTTTAAAAATTGGTGTACCGTTACCCGAATTTAATCATATAATGGGCTTTAGGAGACAAATCTTTATCAGACCAACAGATCTCACAATTCCAGAATCGTTTTTAATTAATTACGATAATACCTCATATAGAATCTTTTTATCAAGCGGCAACCTAACGTGTTACAACTGTAAAAAAATGGGCATACGGCAACTATCTGCAAAAACCCTATCAATCCAAACCCAAATCCTACTTCTCCAACCACAGCAGAAGAAATCTCAACATGTAGCCCTCCAGAAATATCAATCATTACACCGACATCTACTTCAAGTCAAACAGACACCCCAACTACAGAAAATCAACAAAATATAAAACAAACTGCGAACGAAACAACTACCTTACATATGAAAATTGAATCTTCACAGAACAGTTCAAAAATAACTATTGACGATACCTTAAGTCCTTCTCCGCCTCCCAATGATACCACTAATAAACTGAAGTTTACCAGTCCAGCAAAAATACCATTTAATCCTAAGAAAAAACAAAATAAAGGTAAATCTTTAGAAGCATTCATAAACCAGCAGTCACCACCATTTATTTTAAGCTATGTTCAGATAAAAGACCTATTCGACAACATAAAGAATTCACCCGATCCACTTACTACCGTTGAAAATTTGACAAACAACTTTACCGTTCTCATCGATATGTTAAGCAATATATATATATATATATATTATATTATATATATATATATATATATATATTTACATATATATATATATATATATATATATATATATATATATATATATATATATATATATTATATATATATATATATATATATATATATATATATATCCCTATACTCAAGACAGATCTACAAAGACACGAATTACCAAATTAAGAAAAAATCTTCTAAAACACTTACAGATGCAAATCTCACACGACCTAGTATCCGATACGGACAGTGACTGCTCACAAACCAATCATTAAATAAATTTATTTAATAAAATAGAGTTCAATAAATTAATACAGTGGAATATCAACGGCTATTACAATAATTTACCTATGCTACAGATAATTCTTTCAGAACAAAAATCCAGGATTCACTAAACTCACTACAATCTATAGGAAGAATATACCCAGAGAATCATATTCTTGGAAAAATAAAACAAAATCTGATAGAGATAGAAAATTGTAATAAGGAGGTAATCTTTATTTGGGTCCCATCACATAATGGTATTAGAGGTAATGAAGAAGCAGATACGTGTGCGCGTGAAGCCGTCAATTCAGCTGACCCTATTTTTGTGAAATACGTGATAGCTAGTGATGTTTCAAAAGTTATCAAATTGCGGATCCTAAATGAGTGCCAAAACCGGTGGGAATTTTCAGTGTCCAATCTTCGGAATATTAAACCGGACTTATATTGTTCTGAAGCTATTTTTCTTGTGGCATTGTAAATTAATTACTGTTAAACTGGGACTAAGCCACAATTAAAGATAAAAATACGTTTATTGACATTTCAATTTCCACTTCGGAAATCGTTCTCAAAATACAAACAGTAAATTAAACAAATTTTGTTTTTTGTTACATAGTGAAAAATTCTTCTAATAATTTAATTTTATCTGATTCATTTATATTGACAATTCAGACATACATTATGCATTTTAAAGTAGATGACTTTAAAATGATATTGCCAATATTGTTGAGTTGCGCTCCTGGGACGACTTTACTTATAAGATAGTTCATTCGATTACATGAAATCAACTTTAACTTGAGAATATCCGTCAGAAAAAATCATAGCATGTAATTCCTCTTTAAAAAGACAAACACATGACATGATGACAGAAAAATTCTTCTGTTAGTGATTCCATAGTAAATTATGAGGGAAAAACCAGGAAAAAAAACCTCATAATACTATCCTGACATTGTAAGTATTTGTTCGTGAATTTAGTTTACCTTCAACAAACATCAAAATTCTGATTTTATATGTTACGTTATTTAAAAAACATAAATGAAGTATCCTCTATATGTTACTGACTTACTAATACTGGTATTTTCTTATTAATAACTTCCTCTTTCAATATTGGTAACCAGATCCTACTACATTCTGCCGAGGAATTTGCGACACAATTGGCTCATTTAGCATAATTAGAGCCGCTTCTTTGATTTTTCTTTTTTTACTATCCGTTTCTTTTAGGACTACATTTGAATTATTCCATTGAACCCTATGTTCATTATCCCATGCGTGTTTACAGATTTGAGATCTATCAAATTCTCTATTTTTAATATAAGATTGATGTTCACTTATTCTAACATTTAATGGCCTTGATGATTCACCTAAATAAAACTGATCGCATTCACAAGGTATTTTATAAATGCAATTCTTTGTCCTTTCTTGTTCATTGTTAGGTTTGGTTTTGGACAAAATTTTGGACAAAAACCCGTTGAGATCTATTTTCGATCAGTTTTATTTAGGTGAATCATCAAGGCCATTAAATGTTAGAATAAGTGAACATCAATCTTATATTAAAAATAAAGAATTTGATAGATCTCAAATCTGTAAACACGCATGGGATAATGAACATAGGGTTCAATGGAATAATTCAAATGTAGTCCTAAAAGAAACGGATAGTAAAAAAAGAAAAATCAAAGAAGCGGCTCTAATTATGCTAAATGAGGCCAATTGTGTCGCAAATTCCTCGGCAGAATGTAGTAGGATCTGGTTACCAATATTGAAAGAGGAAGTTATTAATAAGAAAATACCAGTATTAGTAAGTCAGTAACATATAGAGGATACTTCATTTATGTTTTTTAAATAACGTAACATATAAAATCAGAATTTTGATGTTTGTTGAAGGTAAACTAAATTCACGAACAAATACTTACAATGTCAGGATAGTATTATGAGGTTTTTTTCCTGGTTTTTCCCTCATAATTTACTATGGAATCACTAACAGAAGAATTTTTCTGTCATCATGTCATGTGTTTGTCTTTTTAAAGAGGAATTACATGCTATGATTTTTTTCTGACGGATATTCTCAAGTTAAAGTTGATTTCATGTAATCGAATGAACTATCTTATAAGTAAAGTCGTCCCAGGAGCGCAACTCAACAATATTGGCAATATCATTTTAAAGTCATCTACTTTAAAATGCATAATGTATGTCTGAATTGTCAATATAAATGAATCAGATAAAATTAAATTATTAGAAGAATTTTTCACTATGTAACAAAAAACAAAATTTGTTTAATTTACTG